TCATTTTTCCTCGTTATGCCACTGGCACTCATTCAATCAATAAATATATTGTCCAAAGTCAGTTTAACAAAAAATCCTCAAGTTTTGTCCGCAAATAATGATAGAAATTTTTTCAGAAAAACAAAAAGAGCGGGAATCAACTGGGACCGTTTGAAATTAAAAGTGGGCAAGATTCCGGCGACAAAACCGAAAGTTTCGGGCCGAAAAGAATCCGGCTTCGACGCCGCACTTTTTTCTTCGACTTCGACGTCCGGCTTTGAATTCCGAACTTTTCAGACAAAAGTATGGGTTCGAGTTTTGGTTTACCCTGCCTATCTCTTGTGGGAATACAACAAAAAACTAATCAATATTTGCCCGAAAAACAAAATCCCCATTAAAATAACTCAAAAAATCAATAAAAACAAACCAAGCTTTCTGCTCCCGATTATTTTTTGAAATAAAAGATGTCTTTTCTTCTTCCTTAATGTTGTTTAATTGAATACCATTTGATAAATTTTCTGTTGTATTTCTGTCCATTTTTAAATTAAATCTAAATCTGAAAATAAAATGAATGGAAAATTGATAAAACGGAAAAAATCCAAGCGCAATTCAAAAATTAACCATTGGAGGAAAAGCGACAATTGGTCACTCTGAAGTAAAAAACCAATTGGTCTAACTGGGTAAAAAGATACAATTGGTCTAATTGGGCAAAAAACCCCAATTGGTCTAACTGGCGAAAAACCCCATTTCGTCCATTTGGACAAAACACCCAATTCGTCTAACTAGGTAAAAAACCCCCAATTCGTCTATCTGTCAAAAAGACCAATCGTCCATGTGACAAAATGTCTAACTGAACGAATTGGCTTTTTTTTCTTCTGAGTGACAAATTGAAGGATATAATGATACTAATGTTTAGCCGCAAGTTCCGGTAGGTCGGAAGTTCCGGGATTTTTTTGATTCCGGTTCCGGCCAAATTTTCGGTTCCGGCGAAACACTAGAGGATACTTCCCTAAGGGGTGAACTTGAAGGAACCTCTTAGGGAAGTATCCTCCTCCCCCCCTTCCCCTCTATGTATCTCTTAAAAAAATATTTCAAAAAATATCAAAAATTCCTTCTCCTTTTCAAAAAAAGAAACAATTGCTTCTTGGGTACAAAACAATAAATAAATATTAATTAATTACTACTTTTCTTCTTTAATTTCCCGCCCCAACTACTCAAAACCATAAAATAGACAATTACATTATATGGCCATCAGATGATGAAATAAAATAGAAAAATGGACTTTTCTCTCCGTTTCTCTCTCAAAAAAAATTTTTTTTTCTTAGTTTAACATATTTTAGCATAGAAAATAAAAATGATAAAAATGTTAAAAACCCCCTCCATCCTTGCAGTGGGGACGCAGACGTTTTGGCGCGAAGCAGTTTTGGCGCGAGACGGTTTTGGCGCGAAGCAGTTTTGGCGCGAGACGGTTTTGGCGCGAAAGCTCATAAAAAAGTCAACTGATCACCTAAAAAGCTAAAATATTCCAAAAATATCCCTCGTATGTTTATCAAGGCTCTCCAAAAATTTCAGAATTTTTGGACCAGAATTTCAGAAGTTCTGGCCAAAAATGTCGAGTAACTACCGAAAAATGCCCACTTTTTCGAGGTTTATCGATTATAATTTGGAAAATATTTGATGAAAAATTCTGAAATTTTTTGAGGAGGTGGTCAATGATGTTAAAGAAATCTTGTGAAACTTTTCAGAAATTTAGGGTTCGTTTAACTCTCAGTTTCGAAGAGCGCGCCAAAAGCGTTTAGGCGCCAAAAATAACCCAAACCCTTGGGGTTTTCCGGAAAGTTTACATAAAGAAAAAATTTTCCGGAAAGAATTTTGTTTCAAAAATTTGGGTTTGATCAGTGTTAATTAATGCTTGGAAATTTCGTACCTACATAAGTCCGAGTACGAATTTTGGTACGAGCTTCAAGTACTGGTGTCATTTTAGGCGCGCGCCAAACTTATAGGCGGCAAAACAACCCCAACCTCCTAGAAAATTAAATAAAATCAATTTTAAAAAAATTTAAAAATAAAACCAAATCAATTTTTGGGGTTTTTGTATACAAAAACAATTAAAATTAAATAATCAAAATAAAAAAAAATTTTATTCAAATAAAAGTTAGCTTAAATTTAAGCAAAAAAATTTTTTCGATGATTTATTGCGCATAAAAAAACGAAAGCCCATTTTGGGGTTTTTATAAGAAAAGACCTGGCAGAGTTAATAATTTTGAGAACAAAATTAATAAATAAAATTTGTAAATTAATTTACAAGAAAAAAGGAAGAAAAAAAAAGCAAGTGTAATTTTAAAAGAAATCAGAAAAACAAGATTGAGATAAAAATCAGAATTTTGAAATTAATTAAAATTCTGATAAAAAAATAATAGCAAAAATAGATAATTCTGGAAAAAAACAGAATTCTCGAGAAATCAGAATTCTGGAAAATCAGATTCCTGGTAAATCAGAATTCTGATTTTCAAATTTTTCAAAATTCTGATCTTCAAAATTCAAATTCCTATACTTTTCAAAATTCTGATTTATAAAATTCTGATCTACAAAAATTCTGATTTATAAAATTCTGATCTACACAAATTCTGATTTAAAATATTCTAATTTTCAAAATTCTGATCTACACAAATTCTGATTTACAAAATTCTGATATTCGAAATTCTGATTTTCTGAATTCTGATTTTCTGAATTCTGGTTTTATATTAATTATATTGATTCTAATCTGCTTTTCAAAAATTCTGATTTCATTTACGAAAAATAAAAAAAAATCAGAATATTCAAGGAAACATTAAAAATCAGAATTTTGATTCTGTATTAAAATTCTGAGACCTCAATTTCAGTAAATAAATAAACGAAAATAAAGATAGTATGTAGTTGAGTTTGAGCTTAAATTATATTTAAACTAGTACTGGTCAAATAATATTAATATGTATTTTTATAATTTTTTTTCTTTTAATAAATAAAAAATAAAATTTTATAATTACGTTCTCTACCACTTTTTTCTTGTCATTTTAAGCTTTTCCATTTCTTCTTCCAATTTTTCCAATTTTGGTAAAAAATTGTTTGATACAGCAGGTAATCCGGAATTTTTTGTAGTAGTAATGTCTTTTTTATTGACAACAATATTTTTTGAAGGAGGAGGAGGGGAATCATCGGCAATAATTATAGGATTCTCTTTTGTTCCAAGTGCAAATCTAAAAATTAAAAAATTTAAAAAGGGATCAAATAACAGTGGTCTAGCCGACCCGATTCCCCAAAAATCGGGAATTACCCACATTTTTTGGGTCAGGAATTGGAAAATTTTTTTTAATTGTCAAGTATCAGTGTGGTCTAGCCCAACATTTTTTTGGATGGAAAATCTAAAAAAATTTTTTTAATTAAAAAAATTCAATTTCTGAAAAGCAGGAATCAAATTTTTTTACAAAAAATTCCAAAAAAAAATTTGAAAATCGGGAATTTATATTTTTTGTCGGCTAGAACCCTAGTTAAGTAAGTCTATTTTTGACTAATTGTAAGTCTGGAGGAACCGTATCCAAAAAATCCTGGATAACCAAAAATTTTAAGTTCCTGTATCGTTTCGCGACATCCCGGCCCCAGATTCAGTCCCTTTTCTTACCCTTTATTATTTTTCAACTCTTTTTTGTTGCCTCCAATTTTTATATTATTTTGTTTTTGATTTTGTTTAATTTCATCATTATTATTAGTCTCATTTTTTAATTTTTTAAAAGGATTAATTTTATTAATTGTTGCTTCTTCCTCATTTTTCCTCCTTTCTTCTTGTTTTTCTTCATTATTATCACAACGATAATTTAAAGCTAACATTTCAATTTTTTCAAGTCTTTCAGTTAATGATTCAACAGAAGATGATGATGTTGATGATGATGAAGAGGCATCAGAAGACTCGTCAGAAAAATCATCAGATGAATCAGAAGAATCCTCAGAATCTTCTTCCTTCTCCTCCTCTTCTTCCTCCTTAAATTCTTCTCTTTCCTCTTCAAATTCCTTTTCCTCTTCAAATTTCTTCTTCCTACTATTTTTTCCTTCCTTCACCTCCCCAAATTTATTTTCTCCCTTCTCTTCTTCAAATTCTCTCTTCTCTTTCTCTTCAGAAAACAATTTTTCTATCAATTTTCTTTGAATTTCAACCAAATTTTCATGTTGTTGTTCTTGTTGTTGGTGTTGACGCTTCTTCATTTTATTACTTGTATTTTTCTTCCTCAAATGTTTTGGTTGTTGATAATTTTGTAATGTTGCATATTTATTATTATAGACTTTATTATTGTTGTTGTTGTTGTTAACAAAATATTTTCCTCTATAATTCTTCATATTATTTCTTTTATTTTTCTTCAATGTAATTATTTCTTCCACAATATGATTTTTAATATTAACATTATTTTTAAATAATATAGGAAGCTTTCTATTATTGTCGTTTGAAGGAATTGAAGGAATTGAAGGTAATGAACCAAAATTAATTAATGCATTATTTTGTTGACAAAAAGTGATTAATCTGAATGAAAGAAATTAGTTTTAAATTTAGAATTACCAGAATTTCTGGTTTTAGAAACCCAAAAATTCTGGTTAAGAAGTCCAGATTTTCTGGTTAAGAAAACCAAAAAATTTAGAAATCAGAATTTACGATTGGCTTTAAAAATCAGAATTTACCAGAAATTCTGATTTTGAAAATCAGAAATTCTGATTTTAGAAATCAGAATTCTCCAGAAGTTCTGATTTTGAAAATCAGAATTTTCCATAAGTTCTGATTTTGAAAATCAGAATTTTCCATAAGTTCTGATTTTGAAAATCAGAATTTTCCAGAAGTTCTGATTTTAAGAATCAGAATTTACTATGATTGCTGGGGGTTTGAAATTTTAAAAATCAGAATCTCCAGTAATTCTGATTTCAGAAACCAGAATCTATGTTTTAAGAGACTAGAATTTATGGCCCAGAATTTCCTATTAAAATTATTCAAAAAATTTTTTTTACCGTCCCCAACAACCAACTTTAGCCATATTACGAGAATCACCAACAATAATAAGTAATTCCATAGGTCGAGTAACTGCTGTATTGAAACGCTAAAAAATTACAAAAAATATTCAAAAAAAACTAATTTTTTAAAATACTTTTTGGCAATCTAAAAAACCAATTCCATTAGAACGAACAGTTGAAATAATAATTACACGTCTTTCACATCCTTGAAATCTCTCAACAGAATCAATAAGCAATTGAGGATGTGTTTTGGCAAAACGACTTCGAAGAAGTTTAATCTGTAAAAAAAATCAGAATTATTAAAAAGCAGACTTATTAAAATCAGAACTAAAAATCAGAATTAATTAAAAAATAAAATCATAAAAATCAGAACGGAAATTCAAAATTAAAAAGAAATTAAAAATCAGAAATACAAATGAGAATTACAAATAAGAATTAAAAAAAACAGAATTACAAATCAAAATTAAAAAACAGAATTACAATCAGAATTAAAAATAAGAAATACAAATCAGAATTAAAAATCAAATTTCAATAGAATTAAAAAACAGAATTACAATCAGAATTACAATTAGAATGATTAAAATCAAAATAAAAATCAGAATTAAAAACCAGAAATACAAATCAGAATTAAAATAGAATTAAAAATCAGAATAATTAAAATCAGAATAACAATCAGAATTAAAAATCAGAATAATTTACAAATCAGAACTACAAATAATCAGACTATAAGCAATATTTCAATAATCAGAATTTGCATTTCCTTTTTTCATATTAAATAAAAAACATTTTACAAATCAGAATTTACAATTTACAAATTCTGATTTCTCTTTTTAACCTTACCTGAAATCTATATGGTGTAATAATTCCAATATCTGCTGCTTTAACTTTTGCTCCAATAGTTAATTTTTGCACATAACCACAAACAACATCGCATTCCGCAAGATTTTGATAAGATTTATTTTCGGTATCGCGTGATTCTGGTGTAACAATTGAATGCCAAAGTAGAGGAAAATTCTTTAAGAAAAAATAATTAAAAATCAGAATAGTTCTGATTTTTCAAAATTAAAAATCAGAACATTCTAAAGCAAAAAATCAGAATAATTCTGATTTTTTGAATTAAAAATCAGAATATTCTAAAGCAAAAAATCAGAATAATTCTGATTTTTCAGAATTAAAAATCAGAATAGTTCTGATTTTTCGAAATTAAAAATCAGAATATTCAGACCAGAAATAATTCTGATTTTTCGAAATTTAAAATCAGAATATTCTTACTAATTCTGATTTTTCAGAATTAAAAATTCAGAATAATTATGATTTTTTTGAATTAAAATTTACATTCTTATTTGGAAGATCATCCCATTGACACAATGTATTTTTTGTTTTAATAGGAGCACTAGGGCATAATTTACCACCATAAAATAATTGTGAAGGAATTGTTAAAAATGCAGGATGTGAACGATAATTATTTTCTAACATTGTTGTTATTCTCCTTTTTGGGAAAAAAAATTTTTTTTTTAATAATTAATTAAGTTAATTTTGACTCTCAACAAATTAAAAATTAACCATTTATTATCTAACAAAATTATTTTTGATATGCAGGATTCGAACCCTTAAGTCATTTAATAGAGGTAAGCTAAATAGCTGGGTTTAATTCTGATAGATATGTTCTGATTAAAAAAATTATTAAAAATTCAAAATCGGAACAATTAAAATCAGAAAATTGTTAAAAATCAGAATTAACAAATCAGAACCAGAAAAAGACCAAAAATGTCAGAAACCAGAATTAAAATCAAAACAAATCAGAATTATCAAAAATCAGAATTAACAAATAATCAGAAAAAACCCGAAAATGTCAGATTCTGATATGTTCTGATTAAAAAAATTATTAAAATTTCAAAATCAGAACAATTAAAATCAAAATTTTCAGAAATAAGAATTAACAAATCAGAACCAATAAAACCCAAAAATGTCAGAAACCAGAATTACAATCAGAACAAATCAGAATTATTAAAAATCAGAATTAACAAATAAGAATCAGAATTGTCATAACTTAACCCAGAACAAATCAGAATTCTGTTTTTTAATCAGAATAAAATAAATTTTTTCATGATAAACTTATTAATTTTTAAAAAATTCAAAAAAAAATTTTTTTTCTTACTTGTCAAAATCAAAAGAATTCATTAATCCATTAAAATCAGTTAAACGTTCAATTATAGCCATTGCTAAAAAATTATTTTTTTAATTTTTAAAAAATTTCCCCTTACATTTAGCCATCTTTTTCAAAGGATCACAAGTCTGTACAGGCCCCAATTGTTTTGGATCCCCAGCAAAAATTATTTTTGTTTTGTTATTTAAATGACTTATTAGGCCAACTAAAGGAATTAAAGCTTCAAGTTCATCTGCTTGTCCTGCCTCATCAATAATTATATGAGTAAAACAGTCATTTAAACCACCGTTAATCTGAAAAAAAAGACAAAAAATATTGATGAGAGAAATTCCAAAAAAGTTGTTTTAAGGACACGCAGGCATATCGAGACGAACATATCGGGATATTTCATGTACAAACATTTAGCCTACTGATTTCGTGGCCTACGGCCACTGGGTCTTGGAAAGTACTAGTCCTATTGAGGAATAGATTTTTATGTTTTAGAACAAATGTAAACACGCAAGAAATTATTTTTGTCACCCCAATCCCGATATGTCCGCACACCGTTTTAAGGGAACTTGTGTGCAGTTTGGGCTCACTTACATATTTATTCGCAAGCTCAAAATGGTAAAAGGACCCTATAGAAGTCGTAGAGACTAGTGTTCGGCAAATGGATTTTTCAATACCAATACCAGTACTACCGAAAAGTACTGGCATTGACTGAGTACCGAAAATTCGAAAATCTCATCAGTACCATACCTCAAAATAGACCAATACCACTAGTATCGGAAAGTACCGAGTCGGTACTATCAGTAGTACTGCGGTAGTATCGAACTGTGCCGAACACTAGTTGAGACGCTCCTGCGAGAGTCACAACGGTTGCTTGATTTTGTACGTGATATCATAGGCCTATTGTTAACTCACAAACAAATGGGGGAAAAGTGAATCTAAACTGCACAAATTCCATTTTACGTTGGTCAGAGCTTTTGAAGACTCAGTCATAAAATGCTCCATTAAAAATTTCTTTTTCTAAAATTTTTTAAATAAAAAATACCAAATATGTTGAAGTATTCAAAGTGCAAATTATAACACGCTTCTTTGCAATTAATTCATTTTTCGGAAAAATTCCAAATTGAGGGCCTTCTGACGAGTCTCTAAAAATAATAAAAAAATTTCAAAAAAAAATTCAAAAAAATCAACAAACTTTATACACAAAACGCTTTGATTTTTATCAAATAAGGCATCATTTTGTTCATATACAGCTTTTGAAAGTGAAAATATTCGAAGAATAGAACCTGAGGTAAAAGCATTTGTGGACATTAAACAAAGAGTAAAGGCATCTCTGAAAAGAAAAAAATTAATTTTTTTTTCAATTTTTATAAATATAGTTTATATCAGGGATGACACAAAAGTTACCAGAAATCCATGAAATGTGGACATTTATTTTCTACACAAAAACACCTCACAAACCTTCTGATGCCCCTTCTTAATCCTTCAAAAACCTATCGGTACTGACCCGCCCAACAAACAAAATTTTTTTCTCAATATTTTTTTTTTCAGGTTTGTATATAAAGGGAAGTGGACCTAAACAGAGATCTGAAAAAAATCTAGGTTATCGAAAATCAAAATTTTTAAATATTTTTTTCTCGTTTCGAGTCTTGTAGGACCCTCACAGTCCTGCTTATATTTTGCAGCGACTTAAAAAAAATTCAAAAATCTTTTTTGGAATAATCTCAAAAAAAAAAATTTTTTTTTTGACGAAAAAAAAATTTCGAAATCGAAAAATTTCCTTGTAAAAATCATAAAAAAATCCAGAAAAAAAATTTTCACCCAAAAAAGAAAAATTAGAAAAAACCCCAAATTTAAAAAAAAAAATTTAAAAAAAATTCAAACGCTGCAGTATTTGACGGCGTACAAACAAGTATTCTAGCCATAGAATCATTTTCACAAATTAATCTAACAGATTCAACCAAAGTTACAGTTTTTCCAGTTCCAGGAGGTCCAAATAAAATATAGGGAATATTTCCATGTAAACCAGAAACTATTGCGTGAATTGCAATTTTTTGTTTGTAGTTAAATTGGCGAGAAGGAGAAAATGTTGTTGAAGAAATAAATTCTTTTTCAAAAGATTCATAATTTTTCATTGGGAGCTTTTTTTTTAAAAATTAGAATTAAAATATTAAAAAAAATTAAAATTCTGGTGGTTTATGTGAAAATCAGAAGAATTTTTAAAAATCAGAAATGTGTCGGTGTAGTGAGTCCACCCCTGAAGAACTACACCCTGAAGACCTATTTACCCTGGAGACCTACAACTTTTTGATTAACCAAATTTTTTTTCTTTTACGAGTTTAATAAGTGAGTCTGAGGGATTAAAGGGGGATCACTATCCACTTTAACACCCAAAATCCTCAATATCCCCCTTAATCCCTCCTAGTTCCTCTTTAACTCCTTTAAATCCCCCGATTAGACTTGTAAAGAAATAAAAAGTAACAAATTGTGGTGATCAAAAAGTTGTAGATGTTCAGGGTAAATGACCCCGGTGTGTTTTGGCGCCCATACGTTTTGGCGCGCTCTTAAAACTGACACAGCCGAATTCTAAAATACGTCAAATTTTCTCATGATTTATCTACATTCCTGGGCATCTCCCTAATAAATTCTAAAATTTTTCATCAAACATTTTTACAGTTATCGCGAAAAAAAGGCATGTTTGGGTTATTAATCGTCATTTTTGGTCAAAAGTTCTGAATTTTTTTTTTCTGGAAAAAAAAAGTTTTGAAAAAAAATTTCCAAAAAAATCCAAAAATTTTTGGTCATGAATTCTTGATAAACGTATTAGAGTTATAATTAATAAAATTTTATCTTTAGAGTTAATTAATTCACTTTCTTATAAGTCCGCGCCAAAACACACACATCCCAACTGGGTGCCGAAATTTTGGTCACCACGATTTTCGGAACTTTGGTCACCAACTTTTTTGGAATTTTGGTCACCAGCGGAATTTTGGTCACCAAGTCAAAAAGCGGAATTTTGGGCACTGAACTTAATGACCAAAATTCCGCTGGTGACCAAAATCCCAAAAAAGTTGGTGACCAAAGTTCCGAAAAATCGTGGTGACCAAAATTCCGTACACCTCCCAACTTCCATATCAAAAGCGTCCCCAATTTAACTAGCCGAAAACGCCACTGTTGTTACAGGATGTGTTTTTTAGGTAAAAATAAAATTTTTCATAAAAAAAATACCAATTGTTTAGCAAGCTCATTTCTATAGCTAGGAAAAATACATTTTGCCCAATTTCCAGGAAATTGAGTCAACGTATCCAAAGTACGGCAACGAGTGTTAAATACAAATATACTTGGCAGAGCAATTACTTGATATGTCTAAATTAAAATTAAAAAAAATTCAAAAAAATTAAAAAAAACCAAAGACGGATCCATATGTTCTGGCGGATAAATTTTTGAAGGAAAAAATTTTACAACAATTATAGAATCGCGTTCAAAAAGTTCATCAACAAAACCCTTAAAATAAATATTAAACACAAAAGAACACACTAGAAACACCCAAGTGGAGAAAGAAAAATAGAAATTGAGCAGCCCACCTCCTCTCTCCAAGTCAGGCCCGTAGCTTAGAATTTGAGCTTAGAATTTGTCTGAGCTTAGAATTTGTATATTTCGAACCCCGGACCCGAATTCGACCATGTCAAACATGGGATAAAAACTCGAAATTTCAAATTTTATGTCTAATCGGACTCAGCTCTTCGAGCTGAGTCGATTGATATCAAAATTATTACGTTTCGACGTTTGCAGACTAAGTTATGGTATACGGAAGTCTAACCAAGCGTGTATTTAATTGATTATAACTCACAATCAGTCTAGAGTTGTCGAAACACAATAATTTTGATATCATTCGACTCAGCTTGTAGAGATGCGTCAGAATAGCTACAGCCTAATAGTTTCGAATTTTTACCCCGAATTTGACTTTGTCGAATTCGGGTCCGGGGTTCAAAATAAACAAGTTCTAAGCCCATATTCGGACTCAGCACACTCGATTACCTCATGGGAGACCTTAAAAATATCGAAAAGTGTTTCTACCACATTTTTTCCTAGGGACCAGTAAAGCGGAAAATTACCAAAACATCTCTTAAATAGAGGTGTATCTTACATCGGGAGTGTCTTATAATGAGATCCAATCCTAATTGTATCTTAAATAGAGGGTGTCGCTTAGTAAGCCTCCCCACCCAGGAATCAACCAATCTCTTAAAAGTCGTCTCTTAAATAGAGATGTTTATAATATTGAAGGTGTCTTATAATCAGGTCTATTCTATTGTGTATCTTAAGTAGAGGGTATCGATTAAAAAGCTCCTCTTATCCTGGAAATACCAAATTCGGTCTATTAAACAGAGGTGTTTCCAATATTGAGGGTATCTTATATCGAGGTTTCTGATGAAGCGTGGCTTAAATAGGGAGTGTCGCTTAAGCACCCAAAACTCACCCATAATAGCTAACAAAATTTCGAAAAAGTATCTTAAATAGAGGTAGGTGTCTCCAATATTGGGGGTATCCTAAAGAGGTCTAACAAAAAATAAACCGTATATTGTTCACAATCAGAATTCGGAGTCCAACAAACAGTATTCGGTATCACCGAAATTTCACATTTTCTACGCAATTTGTTTGCTTCAATGAATTTTTTGTCAACAATAATTCGGTAATAATGCATTTCTTGCTTCTTTCTGACGTATTTGACTTTTGATTCTTTTGAGGAATTTTCCATTGAGTCCAACTGAAAAAGAGATAAATAGCAAAATAAATATTTTGGGAATATTCAACTTTATGGCCCCCCTTTTGCTTTATTACCTATTTCTTTCTTTCTGCCTTTGGCAAGCAGAGATGGACGGGTACCTGAAACCTAGACTTGCCTAGAACCTTTTGGCAACTATTTTAAGTCCAATTTGAGTAAATCCGACCCAAAGAAAAATTTTTAAAACCCGGCTCGAAACTCGACCTGACTCATGTCAATTCTCAGCCCTCCCCATTTGACCGTCAACGTTTAAATCGGGAGAAAAAAAGTTGGATCGAGCTTCGAATTGAGTTTTCGATTTTTCATCAAAACGGGGTTCCGGTAGGGAAGTCCTGGTATAGAGTAGCCAAATTTGAGTTAAAAATTAAAGAATACCCAAACTTGTGCCCATTCAATTTGATTGACATGTTGAAATTTTGCAACGAATTCAGGAATTGTAATTGGATCCTTTTTCAATTCTTCGATAATAGACTGAAAATTAAACAGAATTTAATAAACAAGGGAGTTCTTAAACTTCGACAGCTAATGAAATGGAGCACTATGATCAGTAATAAGAAATATATTCGTCTGGCTATTGGGTTCACGATGGACTGCCCTGATTTCTAAAAGTTACTGCATTTCAAGCTGTGCTTCTGAGAGAGAACTATCTGGCTTCGTTAAACAAAATTAAAAATCGCCACCAGGGCTGTCCGCAAATTGAAAAAATTTGCGGACTTTGGACCGCAAATTATCTAGACCGCAGTCCGCAAGTCCAAAAAACCACAATCCGCAATTGCGGACAGCACTGCTCCCTAGCCCTTCCACAACTAATTTAAAAAAACCTTTGCTTCCCAATCCCCACATCTTGCTGACAATCTATTTCCAAGCAATCTTTTGTAAACTGGTGGTTGCGGATAACCTGGTAATGGATTGACAATTTCTAGGCCACCACTAAAAAAAAATTAGAAAAAAAGTTTGTAAAAATTCTTTAAAAAATTCAAACCAAATTGTTTTATAACTAAAGGCTTGCTCTTTTCGCTTTTCTTTTACCATTAAAAATGTGAATAAATGTTGTCGTTGATTGAGCTATTAGATTGAAATAAATGTTAAAAATATATAAATATAGCTGAAAATAAAAACAAATTAGGTAGATTAGTTCACAGTGCGTGGTTCTCAAATAGAGATAGGCTCGGGGGATCACTCACGGAATTTGAAAAAAATTTCGTAAATTCTCGATGACGTCACTGGAAAATCAAGATCATTGAAAATAGTGTGATTAAAGAAGAGAGACGCCAGACATTTTGCTTTTTTACTTTATTAAAGCAGTTTCAGTGCCAGATTGAGTGCCTGGATGTTTGAGTGCCAAATTCCCTTGATAAATTAATGCGGTCCGGAAAAATTCCGGAGAACCCGGATTTGGGACGTGGACTCCTGAAAACCAAGCCGGAGGTCGGTCCGGCCCGGTCACTAAAAACTTAGTAATCATTATTCTCCCAATTTGATCCAGAAAGTTCGGAATCCATCCACAATTTGGGGGTATCCTACAGTACTGTCAGCTATTTCTTCATTTTTTTAAATTTATTGACAAAGTCATTATTCAATCCCCTTCTCTCGTGTCCAAATGTTTTTAGCACCATCTAAAAATGGGTACGGCCCAAGTAGGCGCACGGCCAAGTGGGCGCAAAGTCATAACTTGCTTCAAAATTTCCGAATCTTACCAAATTTAGTATTAAACGATTCCTCTCATCGAGCTAAAGAGAATGGTACCAAAATTGTTAAGGTCCATAAATTTTTCAGGTAGTTATGGCTTTGCGCCTACTTGGCCGCGCGCCTACTTGGGCGTGTCCCTCTAAAAATACGTCTTTCACATTAATTTTTGTTTTAAATGATAGGGAACGTCGAGAAATATTTTTAAAAAAATATTTTTATTCACTCTTATCGCTTTTTTACTCATTCGTAATTTTTATTAAAAAATATGTAGACGGGTAATAACTTTTTTTAATGTCATTTTAGTCATTTCCATTGATATTGAGTCAAACAAACAAGTAAATTTAGAATTCAAATTTTTTCAATTAAAATACAGTCTGGTCTCATTATAAATAAGATACCCCCAATATCTCTATTCAAAATACGATTTTTAATTTGGTTACCCTAAGGCAGAGCTAAATCGGAAATGACGAAGGTGCCGGAACTCGGAACTGTCGTCAATCGGAAATGACTCAAAAGTCGGAACTCGGAAATCAGCCTAAATTTTCAGAAATCGGAAGTCGGAAATCAGAAATCCGATTCACCTCCGCCCACAGGGCTTGGGAGCTGCCTAAGCGATACCTTCTATTTAATATTACAATCATTCCCCGATCATAGATACTCCACAATATTAGAGACCACTGGGACGGGGTCTAATTAAGCTTCGTTCTTCAAAATTTGGTTGGCCATAGTGGGAGCAACATTATAAGGTATTATTTTTAGCCCCAAGGGTGTATCCATAAGCAGGCTCGAAAGACCACTGGGTATAGGAAGCTGCCCAAGCCATACCTTCTATTTAAGCTACACCTCATTATAAGATACAATTTATTATTTTTCCCATCCTAAGAGGATATCTTATAGAAGGGCCGACTGTTATTAAAATAATTTTTTCCTTCCAAAATTTATAGATTGTTATTTTATTCTAAAATAGCATGTAAAGCATTTCCTTAAATTAGCTGTACTATTGCATAAATAAGCAGATGAGCGAGAGAGATAATATCTTGGGCTTTAGCTTATATTTCTTATTGCTATATTCCTTTCCCCAATAGAATAGCCATTTTAATTCTTAAATATTTTTAAATTTTTAAAATAAATAATTTTAATGATAAATTGTCTTTTTGTTTACGGGCACGTCGTCTTGGGGTAACGTTCTTTCGGATTTTTTGAAAAATACAAAAATGAACCGATATCCATAAAATTTGGTAGAGATGTGGCTAAGGATGTTACCCAGCTCCATTAAAAATTTCAGAATTTTCGGTTGAATATTTGGAAAGTTATGCCTGAAATAGTCAAGAACGCTGAATAGTTAAGAATGTTTTTCGCGACTTGAGTGATTTTAAAATTAATACACTTTGTTTTAAAACATGTTTTAGCATTTTTCTTTAGAACTTACTAAAACTTTAAACTTTACAAAACTTGTTTTTAAAACATTTTTAATGAGCTAACAGAAATGTTTCCTTTAAAACATGTTTTCGAAACTTAATGTTTACAAACAATTTTACAGACTAAAAACTTAGAAACTTGTTCATTTAGGTTTCAAAGACAAAAACAAACCTAAAACTTGAGCATGTTTTTAAAACATTTCAAGTTTATTTAAAACAAGTTTTCTCAACCTAAAGGTTAGCTTATTTTAAAAACATTTAAAACTTGTTTTAAACTTCTAAAACTTTAATAACCTTTTCTAACTTTGTTTTCTAAAACATGTTTTCCAAAACTTCTAACGCTTTGGTTCTGTTAAAAACTTTGTTAGAAACATGTTAGAAACATTGTTTAAATTAAAACTTAAAACATTGTTTATAAAATATTGTGTATTAAAACATTGTTTCTCCAACTCCTAAAACTTTGTTTATCCACCCACATCTCTGACCACATTAATCTTAATTTTCATCTTTTAACCAAAATAAATAAATATACAAATCAATCCTTAATTCCCACAAGTCATTCCCCTCCTCCCCTTCAACCATCCCCCTTATAGCCTATAACAATCCCCACAAAACAGCAGCTAGTCACACAAACAAAAAATTTTCTTTTTATTTTATTAGTCATCTTCACAACATTAAATGTCCCATAAAAATAACATTGCTTAGATTTTTAAAAAAAATGAACGGTTGTTGATGATTAACATATAAATATAAATTTTAAAATAAATTTTTTATGTTTTATCATTTGCTGTTTTCTGTTATTGCACTTTCTAACATTTAATATAGGAGAAACTTGTTTTTATTTAATTTTAAAATGTTTTTCTCAAATAAGTTTATTTTAAGTTTTATTTTGCTTTTAAAGTTTTATTTTTATAACAAGTTTTTGTTTTTGCAAAACTTGTTTTATTTTATCGTAAACATGTTTTAATTTCATAAAACATGTTTTGTTTTTGCTAAACTTGTTTTATTTTATCAAACACATGTTTTAATTTCATAAAACTTGTTTTGTCTTTGCAAAACTTGTTTTATTTTATTAAAAACATGTTTTATTTAATTTTTGCAAAACCTTGTTTTATTTTATCCAAAACATGCACGACATGTTTTATTTATCCAAAACATGTTTTGTTTTTGCCAAACAGGTTTATTTTACCAAGCATGTTTAATTTTCTGCCAAACATGTTTTATTCTTACAAAACATGTTTTAATTTCACAAACATGTTTTTGTTTTTGCTAAACTGTTCTATTTTTCCAAAACATGTTTAATTTCATAAAACATGTTTTGTTTTTGCAAAACTTGTTTTATTTATCCAAAACATGCACAATATGTTTTGTTTTTACAAAAAATGTTTTATTCTTTTTTCAATTTTCAAAACTTGTTTAATTTTCACAGAACATTCTATTTTTATAAAAACAAGTTTTGTTTCTAATAATGTTTTTACTTTTTTAAAACATGTTTATACATAATATTTAACATGTTTTAAGTTTGAATACAACATTCTTGTAATTTAAGTAATGTTTTGAATATACAAAACAAGTTTTAAATTTTTATTAATGTTTTAGAACCTTTGTGCAACAAGTTTTGATTTTCCTAAAAACATGTTTTTACAAATTAAAACAAAATATGTTTTGCAAAAACATTGTTTCTAACATATTTCTAAACAAAATCAACTCTCAAAACATTTTATATTTCTCCAACATTTTCCCGATTTCACAAACATTTTCCCGATTTTTTGCTATTTAAAATGCAGAACATTCCTTAAGCGTTCGCTTTCCTTTTTTCACATAAAATCAAAACGAGAGATAAGCAATTTTGTCGACTCATATTTATTCAATATAAACACAAATTTAAAAAAATTTATTTATTCACATTTTATTATCAATAAAATAATTTATTTCATTTTTTAAAAATAAAATTAAAGAAAAAATGAGTAGCAATGATGAAATTAAAGAAGATAAATATTTAAATAAACAACAAAATTTAGCTGATTATAATTCCTCTTCATTTTCCTTTGACGACGAAGAGGAGGAGAAATGTGCTAATTATGGTAAGAGCCACAATTTTGTTTCTGACGATGTTGTTCAAGAGGATGACTTGCCGGGGGATGTAAGTTGAAACTAGGGATTTTTTCACAAACATGTTCATTTAAATGTTTAATTTTAAATAAAACACAAAACTAAAACTTCAAACTTTACAAAACTTTTTTTAAAACATTACAAAATAAACAAGCTTCTTACATGTTTTTGAAACTTTAAATTTTGCAACCTTTTTACAACCTTTTACAACCTTTTACAACCTTTTTAAAAACTTAATCAGCCTTGTTTTAGAAACAAGTTTTCAAAACAAGTTTTAATGAATGTTTTATTCAGCTTGTTTTTAACATTATTTCAAAAACGTAACAAGTTACAACTTGTTTTAAACTTTTGTTTAGAAGACTTATAAAAACATCAAAAACATGTTTTTTTTCAAAACATTCAAAAACAAGTTTTTAAACATGTTTTTAAAAATTTTTAAAAGCTTGCCATCAAAAACTTTCAACATTTTTATTTAAATAGGTGAATGTTTCAGTAACTCCATATAGCCAACAAGAATTGCCTTATACTAATCAAGGTTTAATTAACAACTATTTATTTTAAATTTATTCATTTAATAGAAAATAACGTTTATGCCTCAAAGCGTTTGTCGAGTGAATTTGACCAAGAGCTTGAACTCCTTGAAAATGAGGTTGAAAATGAAGCAAAGAGTTATGTTGAAAAGATGGAAAATGAGGAGAAGAATTATGCCACTGTTGAAAAGGCAGAAAACGAGGAAATTGAAAAGTATGAAGCAGAGAAGAAAATTGAAGAGGATCAAAAACATTCACCGCTACCACCTCAAACGCCCCCACCCGTTATCTCAACGCCAAAAGAAAACCAACAAAAAGTTTCTGAAACACCAACATTAAATAATTTGAAAATTGAGGATAGCCAAACAACAAAAACACCACAATTACAAACACAACAATCGACAGACGCGTGCGAACAAAAATTGTTTGAACAAATCAAATCGAAAAGTAAGCGAGAAATTGTTTTGTTCACAACAATTAAATCAAGTTTTAATTTACACAAAAACATTTACAAAAATATAAATAAAACATATACAATAAGCAACGAACAAGTTTTGTTTTACAAAAACATTTATAAAAACCAAACAGAAACATTCTATGAAAAGTAAAACAATTAAAAAATTTTAAATAAAGTTTTAAACAAACAAAGTTTTAAACAAAACAAAATTTTAAACAAAACATTGTTTATGGTGTTCAAACTTTGTTTATAAAAAAGTTGGAATAAAACATGTTTTTTTCATAAACATAAGTTATAAGAACAAGTTTAATTATTTTTTAGAAGCAAGTTTAATTATTTTCTATAAACAAGTTTAATTATTTTCTTATAAACAAGTTTATTTAATTTTGACGAACATTGTTACAAACATTTAAACTAAACATTTATACAAATGTTTGTTTCTGTAAATGTTGTTTTATAAATGTTTGTTTAGATGTTTTTATCAAACAAACATGTCTATTCACTATAAAAAAAGTAAAAATAATTAAGAGACTGTAGCCAATCTTGTCGCAAAGTTTAATGCAGTTGCCACGGCTTCTGATGAGAAAAGTGGAGGGCAAAATGGGGTTAATGCTAAACTTAAACAAGGTGTCCTATTTTCATTCGTTCTTTTGCCTCATTAAAACATTTAATTTAAATTTAATAGATATCTCTGGAGCTTCGATCAAAATTAATGAGCTTCGTCAACGTTTCAACGATGATAAATGAATTAATAAAATCAAAATGAGAGTATTTTTGATATGGTGATATACTATATATTTATGTGCAAAAAACATTGCAAATCTTAATTTTTTAATTAATCAGCATTTTTTTATAAAAATAAATTTTTTTCTGATTTCTTATTATTAAAGAATTTATTAACAGAATTAATTAAATGAACATGTAAAAACATTAAAGATGCAAAAACATATAAAAACATCAAAACATTTTAAACAAAAAATACAGAACATTAATTCAATTGTTTTCTTCTTCCAAACTTACAACTTTAATTGATGTCGGGACTCCGCCTCCTTCTTGTTTTATTTGTTTTTCGATGTTCATCTCCCCAATTGTTGTGTTTACATAATATGAGGGGTAATAATGTTGTTGTTGTTCTTGTTTGAATTTTATATCATTAAAATTAAACTCATTTAGTTGTTGTTGAGTTTGTTCGAATAAATTAGCAACTTGTTGCTGAAAAACAAATAATTTTAAAACTTGTTTTAATAAACTTGTTTAAGTAAACTTGTTTAGGATAAACTTGATTTAAATAAACTTGTTCAAATAAACTTGTTTTCGATAAACTTGTTTTATCTAAAACTTGTTTAAATAAACTTGTTTTAAATAAACATGTTTCGATAAACTTGATTCAAATGAACTTGTTTTAGTTTAGTTTAAATGTTTTTTAAATTAACTTGTTATATTTAAATCATATGTAAATTAAAGTACTTACTGCTTTCTTTTCTCTTTTGCTCAGAGTTCCATTTCTAGGCTTTCGTTTTCTAAATTCAAGAAAAATTTAAATTTATTTTTTAAAAATTATCTTTTAATAAATGAATTGTTAAAATTAAAAATATTATTTTTTGCCTTGTTTGGACAGTTTGTTTCTTCATAGTTAGAGGTCGGGCTATGTGATGCAATTTATAATAGAGGCCACAAGCACTACAAAATTAATTAAAAAATTTTTCCAAAAAAATTTAAAATATCGGAAATACTTGCAGACAGGTTCCCCATTATGATTTCTTCTCCAAAGCGTAGTAATCGTAGTATTACAATTACTACAAATTAAATTCTGCCGTTTTTGTGTAGGCATGGGTGGAGGGCAATTCTTTAAAATTTATTATATTTCAAATTAAAATTATTTTAAATTACCAAAGCACTTGAATCTGAACTGGATTCATCCATAACTGATATATCATCCATTTTTTCTGGTTTTGGTAAAGTTTTTGTTGGACCTAGTGAAAATTAAGTTAATTATTCTGATTATATTTTGATTTGTAATTTTATTAGGTTTTGTAATTTATTCTGATTTGATTTTTATTAAATTATTTTATTCTGTAATTTATTCTGATTTCTAAATTCTGATTTTATTATGTCTAATAATTTGTTCTGATTTTATTCTGACTTTGTTCTGATTTGTAATTTTATTAAATTTTGTAATTTATTCTGATTTTATTATTTTTCGTATTTGTTCTGTTTCATTCTGACTCTGTTCTGATGTGTAATTTATTCTAAATTTATTCTGATATTTAATTTGTTCTGATTTTATTATGTCTCATAATTTGTTCTGATCTTATTCTGATTTTATTCTGATTTGTAAATTCTGGTCTTATTCTGAATTTAATCAAAATTTCCTTACCTCCTTTCAACACATTTCTTTTCCCACTATTCGGCTTTCTTCCCCTAACTTTAGGTAGGGTAGGAAAATTCCCTGAATTTAGAGGAGATAATTGAGTTGCAGTAGGTTGTTGGTGTTGTTGAGGTTGTGGAAGCAAAAACTCAGAACAAAATTGTTGTTGTTGTAGTGGTTGTGGGGGTTGCTTAAAAAATAAAAAAATTTTTTTAATAAAAAAAAGCAAAATTACCATCATTCCTCCAATATTTTGTTGAATGCTGTTGTGTAACAAAGCCTCACCGGATGTGGTAATAAATGACGCGGAAGGGCATGGTCCGAGATCCATAATATAAGGGCAGGACTAAAAATAAAATTTATAACGTCTTAAAAATAGGAAAAAATTTTTAAATTTGAATAGAATTTATAGTCTGATTTGTAATTCACCTGCTGTTGTTGAGCATGTAGTAATGCGGCAGGCTGTGCACAATTATCGCATATAGAGTAACTAAACGTGTTGATTTAATTGGAATAGGATTAGAATAAAATTAGAAAATAATATCAAAACAATGCCAGAATAAAATCAGAAAAAAATCAGAACAAATCAGAAAAAAATAAAAAAAATAAAAAAAAAAATCAGAACAAATCAGAAATAATCAGAAAAATAAAAAAAAACAAAAAAATCAGAACAAATCAGAAAAAAATAAAAAAAAAATCAGAACAAATCAGAAATAATCAGAAAAATAAAAAAAACAAAAAAATCAGAACAAATCAGAAAAATCAGAAAAATCAGGACAGAATCAGAAAAAATCAGAACAAATCAGAAAAATCAAAACAAATCAGAAAAAATCAGAACAAATCAGAAAAATCAGGACAGAATCAGAAAAAATAAGAAAATCAGAACAAAATCAGAATTTTTAAAAATATTTTAATTTTAATACCCAAAAGCATCCTTCCCCAAGTGATCAAACAATCTCCCACAGGAAGCACATTCATGATCAGTCAATTGTTGTTGAAGTAACAATCCAGAACTGTTTGAATTACCAACTAATACCATAGACATATCAGGGGGATATTGAATGGGTATTAATTGTGAACTCGAAACAGAGGATCCATCATCCTGTTGAGAGACAAACAGTTGAGGCTCTACCATTAAGGGAGGAACAGTAACAGAAGACCATCTTTTAAGAAAATTTTAAGATCTAAATTCCTTTCTAGACTCACTCATTATTACACCAACCAAGAGAGTCAACCGGATAGTAAAAAGCCGTTGATTGTTCTGGGCTGCCATAAGCAGTAAGTGGATTAATATAAGCACTATTATTTTGAGAAATAAAAGAATGATCAGTGTTTGCGCTTATTGGGATATTTAGAGAAGTAGAATCACCATAGCAGAGTGATGGAGTACCCATAATTTTTTAAGCAATCGGAGTTGAAAAGGTGAGCAGATGATGGAGTAATATAAATAATATCAGAATTTGTAAGATAGCTACCTAATTCTTTATCAGAATATAAATTGTTAAAATCCTAAAGGTAAAATGGTTTATTATAAGCTCTAAATATATAAAACGGTTACAGAATTACAATTTGTAAATAAATATCTTAATTATTAAACTTTTAATTATCTTAATTATTACAATTGTTAATTACAATTTGTAAAAAAAGTTTTATTTTAATGGGTATTATTTGTAATTGTTTATTTTATAACTACAATTTGTAAAAAAGTTTTATTTCAGAATTACAATTTGTAATTAAGTTTTATTTCAGAATTACAATTTGTAATTAAGTTTTATTTCAGAATTACAATTTGTAATTAAGTTTTATTTCTGAATCACAATTTGTAAAAAGAGGTTTTGTAAAAAATTACAATTTGTAATTAAGTTTTATTTTAGAATTACAATATGTAAAAAAATTTTATTTTAGAATTACAATTTGTATAAAAGTTTTATTTCAGAATTACAATTTGTAATTAAGTTTTATTTCGGAATTACAATTTGTAATTAAGTTTCTATTTCTGAATTACAATTTGTAAAAATTTCACAATCAGAATTTTTTAAATTACAATTTATAAGAAATTTTTGTTTACAATTTGCAATTATAATCTTAAAAGCTCTCTAATTTAATAATCAGAATTTTTAATTTTAAAATTCTATTTCAGAATTAAATTATCAAATCAATATTTTAATTAACTCTTAAGGCAATCAAAGCTTATCTTATTAATTGTTATTATTCCGAATCATTATCAGTACTATATATAAATTAAAATTTAATCAAAAAATAAATATTTAAAATAAAAATAAGATAATATTTTATTTCCGAGTGCACAAAAATTATTTTTTTTTGGTTTTATCTAATCTAGAAACAGGGCACTCACTGATTATAAATAGGCGGAGGGTGTGAAGACTGGACTCGGATAAAATAGGAAAGGTTTTTCATAAATTATTATCAGTCACACATTTTTATTTTATAAATTTTCTTAAAATAATTTTTACATATTTATTTTAAAATTATTTTTTAATATTTCTTAAGGTTATTTAAAATTCATATGAAAATTTTTTTATTTTAGGAAATGATAAGACCAGAATATTAGTTTTAAGGAAAAAATAAAATCAGAATTTATTAAAAATAAAAATTCTGATTTTTAAAATAAAAATCAGAATTTTATTAAAATATCAGAATTCTGATTTTTTAAATAAAAATCAGAATTTTCCTATAAAAAATCAGAATTTCCGTATAAAAAATCAGAATTTTAATCATTACAATTTGTAATTTAGCCCATTCATTAAATCAGAACAATTGAGCAATTTTTCGATTTAATAATAAAATAAACAAGTTAACAAATAATAAACGACTACTACTTTTTAGCTAATAAATGATCAAATAAATTTATTACTAACTCCTTAAACCACATTCTAGTGACAATCCTTATATTTCTCCATCGTCCCAATTTACAAACATTAACTTTTTATTTTTTCATTACCTATTAACAGTAAGCGAAGAAGAAAGTTTGCGCTCGACAAACTCCACCTCCATAAATACACGCACTGATTGGCTAATTATTTTTGAATTTTTTACTTTTTTTTTGTCACAAGCAATAAAATTTTATAAAATTTTAATTATTCTTCTACGTTTACTTATTAGCTTTTTTAATTATTAATCATTTTATACTTCCGAATTACAATTTGTGATCTTGTTTTATTTCTAAGTGCAATTTGTAATTTAGTTTCATAGCAGAAATACAATTTTTAAATCGTTTATTTCAGAACTGCAATTTGTAAATTAATTTTAATATCAGAATTACAATTTGTAAATTATGTTCTATTTCAGAATTACAATCGGTAATCAAGTTAAATTTCAGAATTACAATTTGTAATTTAATTTTTGTTTCAGAATCACAATTTGTAAATTAAGTTAAATTTCAGAATTACAAATTGTAGATTAAGTTTTAATTTAGAATTACAATTTGTAATTTGTGTTTAATATCAGAATTACAATTTATAAATAAATTTTTATTTCAGAATCACAATTTGTAAATTAAGTTTCTCGAATTACAAATTGTAAATTAGGTTTTAATTTAGAATTACAATTTGTGATTTGTTTTATTCTCAAACTACAATTTATGATTAAAGTTTTATTTTAATTACAATTTGTAAAAATTCTAAATTAAAACTTAATTTACAATTTGTAATTCTGAAATAAATCAAATTACAAATTGTAATTCTGATAAAATTTAACATTATAATCAACTTTACAATTTGTAGTTTAAGTTTTATTTCAGAAATACAATTTGTAAAAAAGTTTTATATAATAATTATAATTTGTAATTTTGTCCCTACAATTTGTAAATTAAGTTTTATTTCAAAAATACAATGTAATTAAGTTTAAATTTAAATTACAATTTGTAATTAGGTTCAAACCTACAAATTGTATATTTTTATCTAAAAATTACAATTTGTAATTAAGTTCTACTGTACCTACATGACAAATAGGAGCATAAATTTATGAATAAATTATAATTTGGCCCTCAATTTCACTCATTTCTGAGAATAATTATTACATAGTACATAGTTTATAGTTTATTATTTTAATACATAAAAGAATCGTATGAAAAGTAAAATCACTGATAAGGCAAAATATTTTTCTCCTTTCAAAAAATTATTTTTGTATCCCTCCCCGACAGCATCTAACAACTACTATATAGCTTTATTTTTATTTGTTTTATATATTAAAGTCTAAAAAAGAAAAAAAGAGTGATTTTAGGTAAGGGAGAAACCATCAACATTATTATTATGAGACTAAAGAAAAAAATTAAGCAATGGGGTGATGACCCAAAAAAATAAAAAAAAATTTTGGTTGATAAGGAAATACATGAAAATAAATGGAAATTTTTTTTGTTTATTTTTACTAAAATTAATTAAAAAAATAAAAAAATATACAAAAATAAGTTTCGGCAAATTTTCAACATCTGACACTTTATTTACCTCAGAAATAAATAAAAGGATTATTTAAATAAATTTATTTTCTCTTTGAAATCACCGACATGCCACTGACTTTATTTATTAAAAATAAATACTATATACCCTACCAGTCA